TTTGCTGAAAATTGAACTCGCCATAAACTATTTTTCTAACGTAACCTTTTATCAAGCATAAATATGACAGAATTTCCACATCACCCAAAAAAGGTACAGTTAGGCTATAAATAGCTGTTGCAACCGTATAAAAGTCGACTTGTCATTTGATATGCTACTGAAATGGCGAAATGTCATCTCTCACATTCAGCAGATTCAAAGTTTCTTGAGTGGAAGTAGTTTGTCGTTTTCGGAATTCGACTGGGGTAGAGCTCGGCAGCATTTACGCCAAACATAATTCAAGTTTGACATTAGAGAGTAGAAGAAGAATTGCTCAATCTTTGGGTTAAAAAAGCAGACTTTGAATCAATGAAACAACATAACAATTTTCTTATAAAACGAAAGCTTAGAAAATTTTAACGCAAATTGAAAATGGTCTCAAAAACAACGTTTTCAGGAGATGGCAAAAAATAGGTGGTGTCATGCTGCTTCGAGACCTAAAAAATTTTCTTAAAGTTCGTGTGATAACATCTGGATAGAAAAAAAACTTCGAAAAAAAACGAAAGATTCCACGACAGCTTAGTTTTACTGTACATTTTTTTTATTAATTGTTTATGAGTACTAAAAAATGTTCCGGATTCTACAAAATTTGTTGCGGAATCCGCAAACGTGCTTGTTTTTGGGGCAATTTTGAGCAAAGCACCGTTCTTGTTGTTTGTCCGTGGAATTCAATGCAGTTTGAAAAATCAAAGAAAAGAAGCAAGGTTGCGGATTCCACGTTGAATCTGATTTTGGGTTGCTGCGGAATCCGCTTACAATTTTAAAAATGCCCAGTTTGGCCTCGTGATATGTGAAACTAGGTAAAAACAACTAAAGACGCACAAAAATAGCTGCGATCATATATATTACTCAGAGGCAAAGCTGCGCTTCGCAAATACACAGGAGGAAAATGCAACAAAGAGCTTAAACAGGTAAAAAAAGGTGAAAGAAGAAAAAGAATAAAAGTGCACCTTGAAAAACAGCCTTTTGAGACTAGGAGTATTATGTTCTCATATCTGCTCTACGGCTGCTGGTAATTTTACTGACACTAGCTACCAATAGAACTGCTACAGTTTCTATCAAATTCTCAATGTTATGCAGCATAAAATCGAAAGCAAAACCCATTTATATGTTCGGAGTTTCACGTCCTCACTTCTGCGGCCCGGTTCTTTGGAAGTGGCACAGTTAATACTGGATCTAATTTTTCTCATATTTTAAATCATATTTTGTAATGATACGGAAATGCGTTCAAAACTTTCAAAACTTCAAATAATACTAATGCTCACTAAATTTTGCTAAGGCATAAAGTGGATTATACCATTATGCCTAGTGTTTCTCTGCTTAAGTATTGGCTTAACCGCTTATTTAAAAGAGAAAACAACTAATCGCTCTTTCGATTGAAGGCTTTATCTCAGATTTGGCTGGGTGGTTTTGAAAGAAAAATGAAAAAGATTCCAAAAAACTATTTTTATGATTGATTTTTTATGTCGCAAATAAAACAGTTACAGTGTGTATCGAACTACCAATGTTATGCAGCAAAAACTGACCACAAAAATTTTATATGTTCCGAATTTGAATATCCGACCTGTTGATTAGGAATCTCACGTCCTCGCATGTGCGGCACGGCCGCTGGGAAGTAAGCCAGTGGTACAGCTAATGCTGGATTTACCTGTTTTCAGATTTCTAATTACATATTGTAATGATGTGGAAACATGTAACTTCCAAAAAGTCAAATAACACTAACGCTCACTGAAGTTCTCAAGTGTATAAAGTGAGCTTTACGCTAAACCCTACTTTTTCTCAGCTTGAGTAGGGGATTAACAGCTGATTTTAATAAGAAAACTACTCATTGCTCTTCCAATTTAAGTCTTCATCTCAGATTTGACCGAGTAAACAAAAAGTAAAAAAGACTCCGAAAATAAATAAGAAAACTCAAAAATTATATTTTTCCTAAATTCATAAACTGTTCTCTACTAACTCATGGTGTAGTATCATGGTTTAGCCTCTGCTTTCCAAACCTAAGTTTCAGATTGAAGAATTCCGCACCCTGGTTTTTCTAATTGAAACCTTAAAACAGATTTAGCTAGTAGTTTTCGAGAAAATAACAAAACTTATTTTAAAAATGGCAAAAAAACAAAAAAGATTTTTTCCGAACTTCATATCAACTTTCAAACAAAAAAAACAGTATAAAACAGGTAACTCAGGGAAAATCTAAAGATAATTTTATTTTTAAAGAACTATCAACCACTGCAGGTTCGTTTTTGAAAAAAAATCATTCCAAAAAACTGGCAACTTCTAAGACCATTTTTTATCAAAACGCAAGGCGTAGCCATTTGCGCAGGTACATTTGTATAACTGATTTTGTTTCTTTCGGTTAGACCCTTAATCTCCGAATTGACACGGTAGTTTTTAAGAAAAGTAAAAATCTTTGAAAATTAACCAAATTGTGAAAAAAAGGCTTGTTTGAGGCCATTTATTTTTTCTACCAAGTTTAGGAATGAGCCGCTTAGAAAGGGTAATTTCCAATAACATGCTCTTTCCGTCGAAACCTTCATCTCGGATTTGTGCAATTTGTTTGCAAAAAAGGAAAAAAACTCAAAACCAAATAGGCCAAAATCCCCCTCCTGAAACTTTCGAATGCTGTAGAACGTGAGATAAAATGGAAAGAGATTAGGCAAATATGCGAGCACATAGAAGAGCAGCCGGTTTTTCCATTGTTACCAATTTTGTGAAAATGGTATATTAGCTTTCGAGAAAAATTGAAACTTCTATGAGAAGTGCAAACATTTTCCAAAGTGCTGCAAAAGATTCGAAAACAACAAATCCTAAGCATTTTCATAGTAAATTTTTTTTTTCAAACGTGACCTTACGCTTGCCAAAAATAAAGCAGCATCATATGCCATCAAATTATTTATGCTGAATTAAGCTTAAAAATTAGTAAGTTGAAATATATCAAAAATGCCACCAAATGAGCACACAACTTAGATTAGAAAAAACAATTCTTCGTAATAGTTCACTGCGCTTAGTTCGTGTAGAAAAATCGTCAGCTGAAGTTTATTGAGAAAGTTGGCCCATTGATTGTATTCAATAAAAACACAAAAACAAGTTTTTTTTTCATTTTTTGAAAGCATTTTTTTGTTTGGTTACTGGTGACTACGCATCAATATCAGTCCAGCTGTATTTTATGTTATCAGTTAAGGTCGTCAAGACTTTCATAAGTTTGCAAAAATGTTTATAACATTAGACTTTTTAAAAAAATTCAGCTATTGTTCGTTTTCTTGAATTTGGTCTGGCCCATCGAACGAGGACCGGCCACGAAAGGTTAAATATCTCCAAAACACGCAAAAGATGATATTTTTTAGAAAATTTCTGGATTTAAGTGGCTCGGTAATTCCAATACAAAAACAAACGGTAAGATAATTGAGGACTCAGTGATTAACTTGCTTCGTCTTTGAGCCAAGATCCCTCTGCATCACTTAGACATTTTTTGGCGGTCAAGTTTTCAAAATTATAAGAAAACCAATTTTAAGAATTTTGTTTAACTGATGCAACTTTCAGTAGTTTAGGGTTTATACATAGTTTGTTTAAGTCTAAATGTGCAGAAAAAAAAAACTTTTTTTAAAGCTATTTTTGTCCCGGGACTAGCAACCATGCAAGTCCGGTTGCATTATCAGTTTTTTTTGTGTTATCAATTAATCTAGTCTAGATTTTTTTAATTCATAGTTTTCAATGCATACTTTTTCAATTCGGACTTTTTAAAATCAACATTGGAAAATGTATTTGAAAAATTTTTTTGATTAATTCAAATTTCGGTAGTTTAAGTCTTGACGGAATGTCGTAACTAGTTTGTCATAACTAGCCGTTTTTGACGATCTTTTTAACATTGCAAAGCTATTGCTATCTCAACCTCAAAAAAAATTAATTATTTCACCTCCGACCATATTTGTGCAGTTATGAGGGTTAAAAATTACCAATTTGTTATAAATGATAATTAATGATATTAATGATAATTAATAACCTAGAACCAATTGGGATAATTAATGCTCAAAGTTTTTCGTCCAATTTAATTGCGAGCCGCTGTTTGAAAAATTCAGAATTGATATTAGGCAATGTAATTCTTCCGAATTTCATAACGAAAGTAACGGAATATTTCTGTTCGAGGTGGATTTTTTTTCTTCAGACAATTTTCGACTTTTTAACTAGCCAGTTTTGACGGAATTTTTTATATCATTCGAAAGCTATTGTTGTTCTGAGATTAAATTTGAAAAGATATTTTTATCTGTGATTGTTTTTCGTTAAGTTATGGGGGTTTAAATATTGCCATTTTGCCCCACTTGGGACAATTCACGCGCAATATAATTCGCGCTATTAACGCGTAAGCGGAGATTTAATTCGTTTTAAAAATCGTTCCAAATTGGTTCAAGGAAGCTTGTATGTCACAATTGAATTGTTAATAGGAGCAAAATCTAGCACTTTGTACTTAATATGGCGTGTGGGGGAATGCTTTAGACTTAAAATCTTAAATTAAAAAAATTATTTTATTTCAATACATTTAAATTTTTTGTATTATTACTGCTCCAAAGACCTTAAAGGCAGTCAGTCGGAACATTCAGGGCTTTGCCCTGATATACGAGCATTCTGGTTTTATTTAGAAACTATATCTTCCAGGACGTTTAAGGGCAGTCGAAAGATTCGGGGCTTTTGGTTTGATACAAGCAGCCTTGTTCTAAAAATGATTTTTAGATTTAACAGTGGACTTGACGGTGGATATGTTTTTACGAGTATTTCAAGGAGTCTCATTGCTGTGTTGTGATTAAAATTTGGCGACAGTTTTAGTTTAAATTTTATTTTAGTTTCAAACATTCTGCGCAGCAATCGTGTTCTATAACTAATCATCGACGTTAAACTACGATTAAAAAATTTTAGCTAAAATTTTACTCGTCCAAAAATAGAAATATACAATAAGTTATATGATAGGCACAAAATACTCTACTCATTAACGAATTATCATTTAAAAATTTCAAAAATAGAGTTTCAAAATGCTCTTCTTTAACATTGTTGGATCTTCTAACTTCCTAGGACGAAATCGGCATACGAGGTCTTGTCACCGTCAATTTGAAGACCTGAAACAAAACATCGACACTTAAAAAATAAATTAAATCAAAACCCTGATAAAAATAAATTTTCGTGAGACAAATAGAATAAGCTACGTTTTAAAGCTTAAAGATTTTATTAATAAATATTGAACTTCAAAACCCCTCGAATATTTGGTGGCAGAACGACGAAACGGCTGGAAAAACCCCAGATCGTTCTTGAGTAAATTATCGCATTGTTTTAACTTAAAATCTATTGCCTTATTCTGATTGGCTAATACTTTTCTGCCATTCTACCCTTCTCTCAAGAATTAATCCCCCTCCTACCCCTGTCACCCCATTGGTACCTATATACAAAAACACTTGTATAAATGAACACTACTCACTCATGCACTTGGGACAGCACTGGTCGGGGAATGTGCGGATGAATTGAGGGGGGCAGTTGTCTATGGGGTCACAGGTGGTGCGTGAACAAGTAGTCTTGCCGTCAGTGCAGAGACAGTCCACACACCACTGCTCCCCAAAGGGGGGCACAATCGGGTGAAACACTTCCCCATTGGAGTACAGGAAGTCTCCCAACTGACATGCTGAAACAGAGGCATGGATACTCATCAGCCATGCTTCCCTCTACTACCCTTCACCACTACCCACTATACAGCTTAAACTTCCAACTTCAACGATTAAGCTTAGATATAAACATTCAAGCAGGTGACACAGTGCTGAGCCTTCTCCCTTCAAGAATGGATAAAAAGGGGAATCAGATAAATAGGCCAAACTGATTTGCAATATTTAGAACTTGCATTTGTGTGGGTTAGTTAACGGCTCATTTTTAAAATTTCATCTTTTAGCTATTTTGATTGTTATCTTCAACTCCTCCAAATTGGAGTAACCTCCAATTGTTAACCCTTTCGACTGAATATCAGCCAAGCTTGATTGTTCTTAATAAGAAAAGTCACTAACGTTTTCCCTTCTTTTTCATGGACGCTTTGAACCCTCCGTCAGCCTGCATTGAACTTTCCAGATCTTCCGAACCCTCGTAACTCTTCGGAGGACTCGGTTTTTCATCCTCGCCCTCCTCGATGCAAACAGCGCAGCAATCAGTGGGGTTTTTCTTAACCGGGTGGCTGCATTCCGTCTTCGGACACTCAATTCGGTTGCAGCTCACGTCGTTCTTACCGAGACAAACACACTCGGCGCATTTGATCACACCGAACGGATGAACTGTCGGGTTCCATGTCTCTCCCACAGCATAAATAACCCCGTTATGTTTACATGTCGCATCTTCAGGTGTAGGATTTTGATTTTGGATTGAGTTGAAGTCGTTTTCGGGACACTTAAAGCAGCATTCTCCTTCGGGTATGATAGGATTCTCACATGTGGGCACTTCGCACTGGTAGCGTCCTTCGCAAATGACGGCACGATTCTGAAGTATACATTAAAAACTCAAAATAATGCTCATGTCTACTCAAATTCGGTTGAATGATAAACATAAAAAGTGGTAGTAATCTTTTTAAACTTTATCGATTGATGATCGCAGTGGTCATATTTTCATTTATTGACAATTTAATGACAACAAAATTGTAGTTCATTGTTTTTTGAAATGAGTCATCGCGTCAAAAATATTTTATATACATTTTTTAGTTTCCAATTTTGCTGAAGAAAATCAGTGTTGCAACATGACAACAATTCTTTCTAATCAATTTCTCAAACTTATAAGTACCAACCGCGCAGTGGCATGAGGTGCATGTCTTGTCGAACTGTGGATTCCACTGTTGCAAGTCTGCATAGAACTGTCCTTCGAAGAAACAGCTGGAGGAGTCACCCGCGAGTCTCTCTTGTTCACTCTTACTATTTCTCTTCTCTTCTTCTTTGTCTTTAGAGTCATAGGAGCCAGAGTCACCCATCATCGCCGAACTCAGATGACCTTCGGAGCTTTTCGGTTTGCATGAATTCGAGATTGAGACCTATAATGGAACAGAACTGAACTCATACTGGCCTGTAGGAAACAAAAAAATGCATTTGAATGCATGTGCATGTGCGTTGCAGGATCTTTCAATGGTAATTCTGTCAGAATTTTTCGAATCTGTTTTTTTTAGAATCTCTTGTCCTAGTTCAAATGTTGTTTCAGATAATTTTTTTTGAAGTTGTGATGCTATTGAAACCTTAGTTCGGATTTCCCCTTCCGGGTGATTTTTGGATCCCACTTGCATGTACACTTGGCCCACATTCAGATAATCCAGAAACTCCTCCGACAACTCATCTACGGATCCCGATATAGTGCCAGACGAGAAGTTCTCCGACCAGACCGGTTTCAGAAGCTTCTCAGATAACAGTTGTCCAATCTGGAGAGAAAGTCGAGCATCTTTCTCAAACCCATCTGTGAAAACTTCGAATTGAAGCCGACATCTGTCGTCTAAATGAACTCGAGCGTTCCCTGAAGCTCGTGTTTCGATTCTGGGAAGCATGGCTTTACCAGACAACAGAAGTGGCGGAATGTTCTTGTTCGAGAAGTGTTTTGAGTAATGCAAAGGTTCGAGTTTTCCATAAAGAGCATAAGTGTCCAATGATGTTGAAATCTGAAGATATAACTCGCCGATCATCAAGGATTGAATTAGTTCAACTGAAGGAGTGGTCACGAAGCCGACGGCCCATTGATCGAAATAGGTGTACGACACGTCTAATTTCAAATCGAATTCGGATTCTTTGTCGATTCCGGCCACAAACGCTACTTGATTGACATAGTCTTTGAGACCCGAAGTGTGAATTTGGTAGCTTAGGTCAAAGTTGGATTCAAAGGTCACGAGAGTTGACCCCGAGGCTCCTTTGGGAATGTGGCGACTGGGTGTGCCTTGTGATAACACACAGTGGAAACCTTAAAAAAATGCAATATTAGAGAGAGAAGAAACAAACATTACTTTTCTTGTTTAACTCACTCTATGTAATTTTTCCTTTTAGAAAAATATTCTGGAAAAAAGTGTAAATCTTATAGAATTCATACTAGAAAAACAGAAAACAATTTGAGCCATACGAGTTATAAAGATGATCAAACTTTCCATTCTGCCTCAAACAAAAATTCTGCAGAAGAAACATTCAAAACCAAAATTTCTTCCTGTAATACAGAATCAAATCCATAAATTTGAAATTTACTAACTTCCACAAGTTTTTTTAGGCTGAAGACTTCCGACTAGACTGAGTTGTTGGGTTCCCTTGTCACCAACAAGAACCTTTACTTTCAGCAGTCCTCTGACTAACTCACTCTCGCCAGAGATAGACCACGTGACCGCCTGCTCAGCCCACGATTGTGACGTCACTGGGTTGATGGTGTCTGAGAACTGACCAATCAGATCGTCTGATGAGTCGTAGAGACGCACCTCCAGGGCTGTATCTTGTACTAAATAAAAAAACTGTTTATAAATAAGAAAACTTTAGTTTCAGGTAATTTTTTCAGGCAATTTTTTTTTCTAAAATTGATCTTAAAGAAGTCTTACGTATGTTCGGTCCTAAAGTTCTAATGGGACAATAACATTAGAAAGTTTTCACGATAAATCAGCACTATTTTGTACTCCTAGCTTGAAAAAAAAACGATTTTCAACTTGTTGTAGTTGTTTTCTACTAACAGAAATAGTCAGACAGTCCCTGAAGAGCCACTATGATATCCAGGGACGTCTTGGATCCATGGTGGAGACTGGCAAACACGAAGCCCCCAGTACTCATTCCAGGGTCACTAATCGGACTCAACAGGGCTCCAAACGACTCACGGAGCAGTGCTCGATGTTTAGTAATGACTCCCTTAACTTCACCGTCAGGATACACTTCAGTTTTCAAGGTCGCAAACAGCAGATTAGATGACATCTTTTCCATTATTTTAAACTCCACGTCTTTCCACGTTACACAAATCCTACGTCCAGGGGCTAAATCGACCACGTGATCAATTTTATGTGTGAACAGGGCTTGATCGGGGTTGTTGGGGTCAGTGACCTCTAAGAACGTAGGTCTTCCTGACATCTGTTTGTGAATGATCGAGATGTGAACAGTTTGGCTTTCTGGAATGTACTCCAAGTAGATTCGGCTAACTGCGCCTGTTTGCCTTCTTGGCCAGAAATTGTTGCCACTCAGGATTGCAGTGAAGTCTAAATTATCAATATAAGTAAGCTTTTCGTCGCATAAAGCAGAATTTTATTAAGCAGAACCTTAATTTTTCACTGAAAAAGTGTACATCAACAAAATTTTTCGTTCTAGCAAAATGGATTTTTTCGTTCATTGAATAAAACTTAATCAACATGAAAGCGTATCTTTTGACCAAACGTTACAAGAACTTACAATTGAAGTCCTCTTCGAGAGAAAGAAATTTGTTCTCCACTTCCTGTGGGTTCTCTTTTTCATTCTTTTCATCATCCCCGTCTCGCAGCATTCCTTTTTTGGACGAATCTTCTTTCGAGAACGGGTTTATAAAGCTGTCTTTTTTATCTTCTGAAACAAAGCAGAAGCTGTTTTACAAAGCTTTTAAAACAGATCAAAAAAGTCAGTCTGTGGAATATGTGTTTAGAAACTTATTTACAAACCTATTTTTTTTTAGAAATTATAATGATGGGCGATTGAAAAACAGACAGTATCTTGCATATTGTTTCATCATTTGAAAGTAGTTTATATTGATCTTATTTCTTATTGATGAAACTACTAACCTTCTGGACAGTATTTGCAGCACTTTTTTGGGTCCGAGATCGGATATTCGCAGTCTAGAGGGGGACACTTATCCCCTATCTGTTCACAAGAGACCTTGGGCAATAGATCACTCTCGTAGAAGTAGTAGCCAAACATTTCAGCCTAAAACAAAAAAATTTTTAACCAGTAAAAAAAAGAAATTGAGAGTTAGCTGATGAAAGTCGCTCGATTAAGACGTTGGCGGTTCGAAGCCACCTCCTGACTTTTTTGATAGCACTATTTAATTCACTAGAAAATTGGAATTGATCTAAAGCTGAAGTCTGAACCTATGGGTCATTTCTGCTCTTTGAGAGATACCATATGATTTCCATGATCACAATAATCATGACTTGGTTTGTTTGTTTTTTGCTCTTAAATTAGAATTTTGTTTGGTTAGACGTTGTTTATTTAGTCGACTTCTTCTGCCAACTTTGTTGTCTTTTGTCGAATTGAACAGCTCTTCGTTGTCGTCATCAGTCGTATGTGATCTACTAATTAGGCGCCTCCTTCAGCTCCTCTCGCAGCCTGTTCGGCGCCCAATCACCTGTTCGCTTTGATTAATTCACACATGCACACATCTCTTCGCACCTCTCAACTAGTTCAATGTTGTTTCAGACGTGTTTGATTGGCTTCAATTAAAAAATTATGGACTGTGTAAAATACACAAGTGGTGCACGACTTAAGTCGCTTAAATAAACAAAATGGCTAGTTTAAAAAAGTAGTCTAATTAGAGTTCTTTTTTCTTACCAAAGAATTTAGAACCAGAATTTGATTTTTTCTTGATTTATACCACTCGTATTGAATATATTAGATCTGTTTCATGTGTGATGGTTTGCAAACAAAGGATGATGTGGGATGACAACTGGATCCCAAAATAATAAATGTGTCTAAGATATACACTATGCCAAAAATAAAAAGAGAATACGCCAATTAGAATGATAATATGTTTGAAGGTTTTTCGGGCAACTCGATTTGAATTCTAGGGATAAACTTTTTACAAAAAAGTTAACTGCGCCTCAAGGGATTGTCTAATGAAGGGGTCCAACAGATCGATTTAGGATACGCGGGATCGAATCTATGATTCACCACTTGATTTTGAAATCTATCCTATGTAACTTTGGCGCCTCTGAGGAAGATGATTTTTTTTCAAAAACTTCGGTGTTAAGTTGAAAAATGGCGCCGCAACACGGCTTGCGCGGTAGATCCAAATTTCAACCAATCAGAGTTAGAAACATCAGTAGAGATAGGAGCGGACGGGAAGTAAAATAAGTATCAATTTGATGTAGTATATCTTTCAAAAACATATGTTTTACAAAAGCTAAGTGCACAAATGCTCAATTCATCACAAGTGATCGTCATATGTAAGGTTTCCAAACCTAGCGCGCAATACCTCGCATCTAAATCTAGCCTAGTCCTCGATTATGAGGTGTGTTTTTGCAGTTGACTGTTTTTTTCGTACTGTTAGCTGTTTATTTACCTGGTAGCAAGTGCAGGTTACACATGGCATGTATGTTGGTCTGTTGAATATTTCGAGGGTAGGGTGCCACACATCCCCGACTGAGAACTCCTCCGTTCCAAACACACACTTGCCTGAAACACAGCAGCACACACGACAATAAACTAATGAGTCACTAATATCGGCTTATTTTAAAAGTCTCAGATCACCAAACATTGAGTTCTATACCATATTAAACATTTGTTCACACCACCACACATTTGCTTTTAGGTTTCGCAATATTTTTGGAAAAGTGCATTAGGAAAATTTTGTTTTGTGTAACGGGCGCGTTTTGCATAGTAAAATTGACAAAGGAAAACTTTTTCGGTGAAAAAAAATGTAATATAGGCAAAGTTGAGTTTTAAACGAAGTATCTTCTTCATAACTTGATCAATTCGATTATATCTTCAACACTTTTGGAATGGTTGCACATTTTCTGCGAATAGTTTTATTAGGTTTGGGAAAAACTGATATTTGTTTGATATTTGGCACTTACTGGGATCCCGATTTCCAGGCACTGAATTAAGATCACCTTCTCCGTCGTCATGTAGAGGAAAATCGGCCGCACAATTAAGCAAAGCTAACAAGAATATTTGAAAAGCTGAAGCGTAAAAGGTCAACTTAAAGTGACCAACTAAAACGAACATCTTTTTCGAATCGACGATCACTTAACAGCCGATTCTCAAAAATTCGAACAAAAAAGTTCAAAAAATGCAATTTGCTAATATTAAATGTACAATCTAAAAATTAAATTTAACCTTTGTATTTGATTGACGTCGATTGTTTTTATGCTCATCTGCAAAATTGATTCGAAGCAGAATATTAGCAGATAAATGATTGGTTAAAATTTTGTGCTCTCAAATTAAAAAATGCAGATTGTGCTTAAGATAGACAAATTAAATAATGTGATTTGATCAACACAAGCAATACAAGCTGAAATTGAATGGTAAGACTAAATTTTTTGAGGGGACTCTTTTCAAGTTTTCCAAGTTGGTAAGAAAACTCATTTCGATAATGGAACTGCTACGTACCAGGTAGTTAACATAGCATGCTTAAAACGCCAACCACTGGTATGTTTTTTTGCTTACATACCAAAAAAATGAGGGTATAAACGAATTGTAAAATTGCAGGTTCTGTCTTCAGTTTTCGCTAGATGCCAAATTTGATTAACGACAGCACGAAGACGAAATAAGAGATGTAACCAAGGCTCTAATTGGGCCTTAAGAATTGATTATATATTTTTATCTTTGGCTGAGTAAAAATCTTCAGCTAGAGATTTTGATTAGGCTTCAATAAAATTTAGCTGATAATTTACAATACTGGTACGGGATCTGAAATGGTAAGGATAAAACTTGGCCAGGGCAACCCCATTATTATTTCAGTAGACTCGCTAATAATACTGATAAAGAAATAGCAGTCGAAATCTATTAGCAAAATTTGATTAAAAGTTGGAGTTGGGGAATTTAATTTGCAAAAAATTTATTTCATATACATTAGCGTGTCGGTATTAGGAGAAGGCACCCTTTAATTTTGGTAGCCATAATATTGTAGCAGATGTTTTGTGCTAAGCAGCCCTATAACTTATCTGAATGTGCACACGGTGCCAATAAATACTAATTTTGAGGGGCAAAGCAAAGCGCACATTAAGAAAATCAATGTTTGGTCGAACCCTTTCAAAACGGCTAATTTTGCTCCAAAATGCATGAGGCGCATAACAAAATCAAAAAGGGCGCCTGAAAATGGTCAAAAAGTTTTCATATGTAAATTTTTGCCTGACTTTGCAATAAACGAATGGCATCCATGCTAAGATAGGACAAAGTGCCTTGCGTATAAATAATAACCAGTAACTTTTTGTCATCCTACGCTCGCTTCGCCGCTAAAATCAAATTCCTAAGAGAAAAACAACCGGTCATTCGCTCATCAAATTGACAAAAAAAAACAAACCGCAGCCTTAAAAATACTAGAGTAGACTTTATCGATGAAAATGATGCATGAAATGAGACTCTGAGACCACTAAAGTCGAGGTTTACGATCAGGGGCGGATTTAGGGGGATCATCCCCCTCAGGGATTCGACTCCTCGGGGATTCGACTCATCAGGGATTCGACCCCCTCATGAACCATATCTGTGATTCATATTTCCACCGAGATGGTCGTAATGCACAATCGAAAACCATCCATGTTTGAAAACCGTCTCTCAATCTCTTTTTGATTCATATACATTCTCCATCGAGGTGGTCAGAAAGCAAAATTGATAAATAATCGAGACGATTGAAACATAGCCAACCGACAGTTGGAAAAGTGAGGACAAATCCTTTTTGTAACTGGTGAGCGTAACTTGATTGCCTTTCAGCAATTAAACTTGAACTGAACTCGCATAAGAATCAAAAGCTATCAAGGAAAATTTAAGTCGACTTTTTTAGGACTTCTCCCAAAAATGGAAAAAAGCAACACGACCTATACAAGTGATATATCATCTCGCTCATAAACATTTCAGCAAGAGGTGCAGGTTAACTCAAAACTTATTCTAGAAATATAAACTGCCCACTTACACCAACGGGCATCTTCAGTACTGAGTTTAAGTCAAGGGTGGCTCACTCTTAGAAAAATTTCAAGAAGGTACACCGTCTGTTCGTCACGCTATCTTAATTTCGGCCGGATAGATTCATGCAACTTCTTAGCCTCCTTCAGCTCCTCTCGCAGCCTGTTCGGCGCCCAATCACCTGTTCGCTTTGATTAATTCACACATGCACACATCTCTTCACACCTCTCAACTAGTTCAATGTTGTTTCAGACGTGTTTGATTGGCTTCAATTAAAAAATTATGGACTGTGTAAAATACACAAGTGGTGCACGACTTAAGTCGCTTAAATAAACAAAATGGCTAGTTTAAAAAAGTAGTCTAATTAGAGTTCTTTTTTCTTACCAAAGAATTTAGAACCAGAATTTGATTTTTTCTTGATTTATACCACTCGTATTGAATATATTAGATCTGTTTCATGTGTGATGGTTTGCAAACAAAGGATGATGTGGGATGACAACTGGATCCCAAAATAATAAATGTGTCTAAGATATACACTATGCCAAAAATAAAAAGAGAATACGCCAATTAGAATGATAATATGTTTGAAGGTTTTTCGGGCAACTCGATTTGAATTCTAGGGATAAACTTTTTACAAAAAAGTTAACTGCGCCTCAAGGGATTGTCTAATGAAGGGGTTCAACAGATCGATTTAGGATACGCGGGATCGAATCTTTGATTCACCACTTGATTTTGAAATCTATCCTATGTAACTTTGGCGCCTCTGAGGAAGATGATTTTTTTTCAAAAACTTCGGTGTTAAGTGAAAAAGGGCGCCGTAACACGGCTTGCGCGGTAGATCCAAATTTCAACCAATCAGAGTTAGAAACATCAGTAGAGATAGGAGCGGATGGGAAGTAAAATAAGTATCAATTTGATGTAGTATATCTTTCAAAAACATATGTTTTACAAAAGCTAAGTGCACAAATGCTCAATTCATCACAAGTGATCGTCATATGTAAGGTTTCCAAACCTAGCGCGCAATACCTCGCATCTAAATCTAGCCTAGTCCTCGATTATGAGGTGTGTTTTTGCAGTTGACTGTTTTTTTCGTACTGTTAGCTGTTTATTTACCTGGTAGCAAGTGCAGGTTACACATGGCATGTATGTTGGTCTGTTGAATATTTCGAGGGTAGGGTGCCACACATCCCCGACTGAGAACTCCTCCGTTCCAAACACACACTTGCCTGAAACACAGCAGCACACACGACAATAAACTAATGAGTCACTAATATCGGCTTATTTTAAAAGTCTCAGATCACCAAACATTGAGTTCTATACCATATTAAACATTTGTTCACACCACCACACATTTGCTTTTAGGTTTCGCAATATTTTTGGAAAAGTGCATTAGGAAAATTTTGTTTTGTGTAACGGGCGCGTTTTGCATAGTAAAATTGACAAAGGAAAACTTTTTTGGTGAAAAAAAATGTAATATAGGCAAAGTTGAGTTTTAAACGAAGTATCTTCTTCATAACTTGATCAATTCGATTATATCTTCAACACTTTTGGAATGGTTGCACATTTTCTGCGAATAGTTTTATTAGGTTTGGGAAAAACTGATATTTGTTTGATATTTGGCACTTACTGGGATCCCGATTTCCAGGCACTGAATTAAGATCACCTTCTCCGTCGTCATGTAGAGGAAAATCGGCCGCACAATTAAGCAAAGCTAACAAGAATATTTGAAAAGCTGAAGCGTAAAAGGTCAACTTAAAGTGACCAACTAAAACGAACATCTTTTTCGAATCGACGATCACTTAACAGCCGATTCTCAAAAATTCGAACAAAAAAGTTCAAAAAATGCAATTTGCTAATATTAAATGTACAATCTAAAAATTAAATTTAACCTTTGTATTTGATTGACGTCGATTGTTTTTATGCTCATCTGCAAAATTGATTCGAAGCAGAATATTAGCAGATAAATGATTGGTTAAAATTTTGTGCTCTCAAATTAAAAAATGCAGATTGTGCTTAAGATAGACAAATTAAATAATGTGATTTGATCAACACAAGCAATACAAGCTGAAATTGAATGGTAAGACTAAATTTTTTGAGGGGACTCTTTTCAAGTTTTCCAAGTTGGTAAGAAAACTCATTTCGATAATGGAACTGCTACGTACCAGGTAGTTAACATAGCATGCTTAAAACGCCAACCACTGGTATGTTTTTTTGCTTACATACCAAAAAAATGAGGGTATAAACGAATTGTAAAATTGCAGGTTCTGTCTTCAGTTTTCGCTAGATGCCAAATTTGATTAACGACAGCACGAAGACGAAATAAGAGATGTAACCAAGGCTCTAATTGGGCCTTAAGAATTGATTATATATTTTTATCTTTGGCTGAGTAAAAATCTTCAGCTAGAGATTTTGATTAGGCTTCAATAAAATTTAGCTGATAATTTACAATACTGGTACGGGATCTGAAATGGTAAGGATAAAACTTGGCCAGGGCAACCCCATTATTATTTCAGTAGACTCGCTAATAATACTGATAAAGAAATAGCAGTCGAAATCTATTAGCAAAATTTGATTAAAAGTTGGAGTTGGGGAATTTAATTTGCAAAAAATTTATTTCATATACATTAGCGTGTCGGTATTAGGAGAAGGCACCCTTTAATTTTGGTAGCCATAATATTGTAGCAGATGTTTTGTGCTAAGCAGCCCTATAACTTATCTGAATGTGCACACGGTGCCAATAAATACTAATTTTGAGGGGCAAAGCAAAGCGCACATTAAGAAAATCAATGTTTGGTCGAACCCTTTCAAAACGGCTAATTTTGCTCCAAAATGCATGAGGCGCATAACAAAATCAAAAAGGGCGCCTGAAAATGGTCAAAAAGTTTTCATATGTAAATTTTTGCCTGACTTTGCAATAAACGAATGGCATCCATGCTAAGATAGGACAAAGTGCCTTGCGTATAAATAATAACCAGTAACTTTTTGTCATCCTACGCTCGCTTCGCCGCTAAAATCAAATTCCTAAGAGAAAAACAACCGGTCATTCGCTCATCAAATTGACAAAAAAAAACAAACCGCAGCCTTAAAAATACTAGAGTAGACTTTATCGATGAAAATGATGCATGAAATGAGACTCTGAGACCACTAAAGTCGAGGTTTACGATCAGGGGCGGATTTAGGGGGATCATCCCCCTCAGGGATTCGACTCCTCGGGGATTCGACTCATCAGGGATTCGACCCCCTCATGAACCATATCTGTGATTCATATTTCCACCGAGATGGTCGTAATGCACAATCGAAAACCATCCATGTTTGAAAACCGTCTCTCAATCTCTTTTTGATTCATATACATTCTCCATCGAGGTGGTCAGAAAGCAAAATTGATAAATAATCGAGACGATTGAAACATAGCCAACCGACAGTTGGAAAAGTGAGGACAAATCCTTTTTGTAACTGGTGAGCGTAACTTGATTGCCTTTCAGCAATTAAACTTGAACTGAACTCGCATAAGAATCAAAAGCTATCAAGGAAAATTTAAGTCGACTTTTTTAGGACTTCTCCCAAAAATGGAAAAAAGCAACACGACCTATACAAGTGATATATCATCTCGCTCATAAACATTTCAGCAAGAGGTGCAGGTTAACTCAAAACTTATTCTAGAAATATAAACTGCCCACTTACACCAACGGGCATCTTCAGTACTGAGTTTAAGTCAAGGGTGGCTCACTCTTAGAAAAATTTCAAGAAGGTACACCGTCTGTTCGTCACGCTATCTTAATTTCGGCCGGATAGATTCATGCAACTTCTTAGTCTACTACCGATCTTAATCTTACTCTCATATCTCCTAGTCTCAATAGATCTAGTGTATACTGGTATTTGCGAGGTTAGATATCAGGAACTGTTCTGGAGAAGAGTAACTGTTTGCTAAGTTATA